CGCAATACACCATATGAGTTTAGTTGTTTATTATTCATCACATAATAATAATAATAATAATAAAATTTTAACGCATTTCAGTTATCAATTTTGGGTAATTAAATGATTTAAAAATAATAAAATTAATAATCATAATAAAATAATTATAATAATAACAAATTAAAAAATAATAATAATTTGTTTAAATATTATAAATATATTAATTGCAATAATTTAGTTTCATGTATTCTAAAGTTCCATTGATTAAAATAGTATACGTATATAATAAAAAATTCACATTCAACTTTAATCTTTAGTATATAGACTTTACATATATTGATTTAATGCTTTTTTATTTAAATTCTCAGCAAGTTCACAACTACATTGATTTTTTTACATAATAAACTTTTATATTATGATTTAATTTAATTAAATTCTTTTTTCATATTTACAATATTTATTAACAATTTTATTTATGTTTAATTATTTAATATCTGCATTTTGAAATTGATGTTCTAAATTCAAATAAAAAAAAAAATTGAAATGTTTTTAAACTTAACAATGAAATGTTTTAAATTGTATTTATTAATAAAATATTTATATTATATTGCATTACATCTATACAATTTTATTATAATTCAAGTACTTTTAATCTTGTAATAATGTTTTCATTTACAAAAATTTGTTGAAAATTATAATTATTTTTAATAAGTTAATTTATTTTATAATTAAAATAATATTTTCATTTCATTTTACTATTTTAAATTAAATTTTGATTTTTTTACATAATCAAAATGCTTATATTTATAATTTCTTATATAAATTTAAATATTTTAACAGCTTTACACAGAGATATCAATCTTAAAAACTATAAACAAATTATATGCTAAAAATATATTTATTAAACATTTTTTTACACTTGGTAAATAAATAAAACTAATTAATTATAATATATGAGTTAATATTTATTGTAACAGATTATTCATTTATATTTTGTATTTATTACTCGTATATAAAATTTACTTTAAATATTATTGGTTTATTAATAGTTTTTTTTGCAGAAGTTCTTAAATATAACCCCTGTAGAGGTTCCATCAAATACTTAACTCATAATTTATGTTCAGTTTTTTTACTCCTTATTTATTAATATATATTATTAAGGTTATTTTAAATTATACAAAGTGTTATAAACATTTTTAAATATAAAAATTTAAAAAGGTTGCAAAAAACAATATAGCTTAATGTTCAGTTTTAATACAGAAAAATAATCATAATTTGATATTGAAAGTAGATATGCTGATATCGTAAAAATGTCAGATGTTATACATATATATATTTTTTGCCATTTTAATTGAAGATAATCTGATCAGCTTGAATTTCAGCGGTTATTTTTTCAAAAAAGCATTGAACACTCCATTTTTTTTCAGATCTCACCAAAAGAGAGAAAAATAAATTATATACTATATGTCACATATCAGTTGTTCCAGACTAGATAAATCATTTAAACAGGTTGCAATATTTCAGTCTGCAGATCCATTATTGTTTAACGATGTGTAGTGTGAAAAAATCCCACTAAAATTAAACTTAAAGTAAATTAAAAATGAAAATTAATATATTAGCAGGATAATGGCTCACGATTGTGTATATATTTTGTTAAAACATCTGTACGCATTACGAGTATTTATTTAAATGAATATTTTAAAACTCTGCACTAATTTTAAAAACGTATTTAACAGAAAAATTCATTTAATTATTCGAATATTAAATATTAATTGTAATATTGTTATAACGACCATTATACTATATTATTTATAGTATAATGGTCGGAATTTACCATTATACTATAAATTATTTAAAAAATAAAATTTGTTATAACCAAAAATTATTTTTATAAAATTCAAGTTTTTAAAAATAATTTGTTATCAATAAAAGTTAAAAAACAAATAAAAAAAATTGTGTATGAAAAACAAAACAAAAAATTTAATTTCAAATTTTTTTTTTTAAATTTATTTTCAATAAAACATTATAACATATAAAATAAAAAATAGTTTCAAACATAATATAAAAATGATCATAAGGAAACAAGTGTAATATAATAAAATGACTGTACGTCTACTTTAATTGAAGACTATATAAAATTTCAAATGTTTAAACAAATTAACGGATATAATAGTTGATAATTTTTATATATAAGAACAAAAATAATTTTTACTAATATATATTATGACAAATTATATTCTCAATTATTTGAACCAAACAACAAATTAATTTTAAGGAATAATATTTAAAGGCTATAACACTTTTAAATAATATAAATGTACGTATAAAGGTAGTATGCATACGAACAATATAATTTCTTTATCGTAATTTTACTCATTATTTGATTTACATAAAATTAAGTGGACTTATATACTTTTTTTAATTTATTTTTACCCGTTTTCTTATAAAAGGTTATTTTACTTTGTTGCATTTATTGAGTTTGATTTAATTTAATTTAATTTTAATTTATTTAATATTATTTTAATTAATATTATTTGTAATTGTTTTATTTTATATTTTTTAATTTTATTTAATTTTATCATAAAAAATTTTTATCATCTTACTAAATTTTATATTGTTTTATTCATTTTAATCTTTTCTCATATTATTATTTAGTTTTATTTTATTTAATATCATTCTTGTATAATATTTTATTTTATTTATTCTTTTTTATATTATTATGTATTTTATTTTTATTTCATTTTTATGTTATTTTTTTTTTTTTTCTGTCATTGATTTTATATAATTTCAATTGAAATTATTTTATTTTAATTGATTTTATTTTAATTATTGGGATCTTATTTTAAATTCTTTTATTCCATTTAATATACTTGCTTTTTATTTTATATTGTGTCATATTACTTTATTTCATCACATTTTAAATCATTCTTTTTATTTTTTATTTTTCATTTTATTTTATTTTATTTGCATATATTAATACATTTATTTCAAATATTTCTGATTTTGTCATATTCTTAAATACATGACTTTTATTAGTTATATGGTTCATACAATATTGGTTTATATATCAATTATTTTTAATATAATGCAGTAATAATTTATTTTGTTGTATAATTTATTTTGTTGTATGTTTTGTGTTTATATAGGTATATTAAAAAAACAGGTATTTTACTTGTTTGTAATGTTTGTCTATTGATGTTTGTCTATTGGTCTATTTAGGTGAAAATAGAAAGGAGTATTTGTATATATATTATCTCTTCACGGAATGCAATAGTTCGTTGAATGCAGTGCAATGCAAAATTTATTGTTTTAGGAATTAAAATTTCCTAATAAGAATTTTATGTCCTTTGACAGTTTGTGCATCTGGACACTTTTCATCTTTGATAGCTAGGGGGTTTCTGCAAAGTCCCGCCCATCTCACTGACTAATTTGTGTATTCCTCATAAGCTTTGTGATTATTCAATGACTGATCTAAGATCTGCGTACCGGACCGTGCGATTAGTGATGACTCTGAGATTAGATAGTGCTAAGTAGCGTAGCGTGTCGGTTTTCAACATTTTTTTTATATTCAAATTTTAATCAATTTTAACCAATTCGCTACTAAATATAAAAAACCGATATCTCTGAAGTACATTGCATCTTTAATAGATTATGAGATGGAGAGCATCTTTTACATATTCTTAAGAAATTAAGCAATTCTAATAATGAAATTATTTATATTTTATTTATTTTAGGAACACAAAACAAAAACAACAACATTTGTTGCATTGGCCAGTTTTAGGCAAATTTCAAAAATAAGACTGCAGAAAGGTATTACTTGTCAAAAAATTGCATTAAAAATTTTGATTGCAACGTGACAGTGTATGTTGCAATCTTGACAGAAACATGTCAGTGTAGATGCTGGATTAAACTAACATAAATAAATTAATAAATATTTTATTTTTTTCGTTACAGATTTGTATTATATTTATATTAGTTAATTTTTCTCATGTTTTGTTCAGTTTTATTTATTGTAATTAATTGTTTTATTAATTTTTTTTTAAACCACATTATATTGTATTATTACTGCAATATTATTTACTTAAACCTTAAGTTTCAATATTTTGCAAAAAACTTATTTATTTTATTTTATTTATTATTACTTTTTTTTTTAAGTTTATTTATTGTATATATAAGTATTAGTAAGTATTTTTGTGAAACATGTTATATTGTAAAATTATTACTGCATTGTTATTTATTTATTTATTTTATTTCACATATTCTCAAATTCTTATTTTTTTATTTTGGTATATTTATTATATTTACTTATTTTATTAAGTATTTATTTTTCAATACAACTGACATTTATTTTCTTTTATAATTTATATTTGCTCAATTACTTCTTAACTTTAATATAATTTTATTTTTACTTGATTTTTTAATTATTTTGGTTTTAAATCTTAATATTTAAAATTTGATTTCATTTTTATATTAATATATTTTTTTTTTTGTTTTTCTTATATGAGCAAATAACCTTCTCTCTTCGACATGTAAACTTATTTCTTTTTTTAGCGCTTAAAATATTCTGAATTTTCCATTTCATTTTATTATATCTATTGTATCATTATAACTATTATATCAATTGAGAAATTGAAAAGACTTCTGGATTCAATATATAATGCACTTTCCAATTGCATTTTACATATTTTTTAGTGCTTATTTTATGAATATTTAAGCAGCTACAGTTCTTACTTTTAATTTTTATATGCAATACATTTAAATATATTTATATAATTTTTTTATAATTTTTTTTTTTGAATTTTCTAATTTTTTACACTTTCTTATTTTATATTTAAACAGAAAAGTAATTCAATTAAATAGAAAAATATCAAATATAAAATTTACAACTGAAAGCAAGCTTCTCATAGTCAAATTGTGAAAAAAAGAACAATATTTAAAAAAAAACAATTTTAAATTGAAAATTGCTGAGCTTCTTCTTCTTCATAAGGAAAAAACTGTTTTCTTTCATCATCATTTTTAAATCAGCAGTGATGAAGCGTTTGCTTTACAAATTCCATTTTGAATGGTTTAGCAACAACAAAATGGCGTACGTTGCAATTGCGCTCAATATGGCCAAGAATACCATTGCCATCGCCAACGCCATCGCCATCGCTATCGCCATCGCCATCACCATTGCCATCACCATTGCCATCACCATTGCCATTGCCATCACCATCGACATTACCATCAGCGCTGGAATTGCAATTGCATTTACCATCAAATTCGAATTCGTTTTCGTTTTGCGATCCGCGTTCGCGTATATGCACGCATTTATGTGGCGCTGTCATCAATAATGTTTGATCCTTTGACATATACTTTGTGAAATTGTATTTAACATCAGTGGCAGCAGCAATAATGCAAGCAACAGAGGCAGCAGCAATAGTCGTAGTAGCAACAGCAACTGTGATAGCAGCACCAATCGCAATGGTAGCAAGTGTCAGCGACAGTTGTTGACGTGCAACCTTTGAATTGCCGTCATCATTTTGATTTTCTGCTTTGTTATTATGTTGCTGCAATTGTTGCTGTTGTGGGTGTCGGTGTTGGTTATTTTGCTGCTGCTGTTGCTGCTGCTGTTGCCGCTGTTGCTGTTGATAATTCTTTTGCCATTTTAGTAATGAAATTCTGTGCGCTTCGTTTGTATTTTTTCTCGTGCAATTATAAAAGGATTTTCTGCATGTCCTTTTTGCTGTGAGATCTGACAGTGCATCAGTTAAAAATTGTTGCTGCTGATTTGTTACAACAGTTGCTGTGACTAGTCCTTCTTCATTTTCTTTGCATTTATTTCTATTTTTACTCTTATTATTATTTTCACCATTATTATCAACGTCTTTTTTGTTGTCTTTTGCTTTTGCTTTTGCATTTGTTGTTTTTTCATTGTTATTTTTTTCAACCTTTTCGTTTTTGGTATCCTTTTCTTTCAGTTGTTCCTTTTCCTTATTGCGACTATTTTGACAGCTCATAAAATGATGTGTCAGTATTATACCCATTGCAACAGCAGAAACAGCTACACTGCCAGAGCGACTAGCAACAATAATGCCAGCAGCAACAACATCAATTGCACTAATGCTGCTGTCATTTTCATTGAATGCATTAAAATTTCTTCTGCTCTGTTGCTGCTTTTCTGTAAGGTAGTGCCATCTGTCATTTAATTTTTCAATTGCAGTCTGCATTTTTCTTGCCAATTTTTCTAAACCACTTTTGATATAATGTTGCAATCCTATTGCTGTTGTTGTTGTATCATCTGATATACGTGAAGCAATTTTAAAGGAATTTCCCTTCATCGTGGCATACAGAGTTTTCCAAATGTGCATTAAACGTTTTTCATATGTGTGAAGGAAAATGCGAGTAGTTGGCGTTGCTGATGAGGACATATCGGCTGCTGTAGGACGAAAAAGAAAAAAAACTATATATTAATATTTAATGTCACCACAACTTTTAAGTATTTTAAATATTCAATAAAGATATATTACTTTCAAGTATGTTACTAAGTTTTGAATATTTGCTCGTCTTAAGCTTTTTACGTAAACCCTCAATTTGGTTTTTATGAAATTGAATTAATATAATATTGGATATCGAATCTATGCAGTTTTCTCACCTATGTAGAGAATCAGTTCCATTAAATCATGAGTAAAATGAATTGTATACTTAGTATAATTAAGTTATAATTAATTATAATCTTATTATTAATTAGATAAATGATGCCTTGAATAAAATATAACAATGTTTCCAATATTCATATCACATTGAAAAGAATCTTCAGATGCTCGCCTAATGGTATCTCACCCGGTTGCATAATTCACTTTCTGACGTCTCAACCCCTAGCATTCTTCTCTCTGCCTTCCTGTTAGCCATGCGCGACAAGCCTTTCAACGCTTAATGTTATACTTCGACGAGAGGTATTCAGTTGCCTTCATCATTCCTCTCTATATCTGTGGCTTTCGTGACCGTGATCACAGAGTATACAACTAAACCAGTCGTTGCACATCCTTTCCACCTGTACCACGCCAAATACCCCTTGACTTAAATGAACCTATACTTTAAACTATTAAGTCCCTTGACCACAGGTCTCTAACTCTAATTACTATTATGCAGTTTTCATATAACGCTGGACATCTTCTTATTTATTCCTAAGAGGTAGTTTTAGTAACATTGTGTCATATTGTGGCTGTTGATGCTTTTCACTTACTGCCAAAAAAAAATATATTCATTCAATAAAAGAATAGTATAGACTTTATTTGAAGAGATAGACTCAATTGCGTATGAAAACCTTTCGAAAGATAACACATTTCTAGGAAGTTGTAACCTTGATGCTCAATGTAGAGCATTGCTAAACAGAACTCTAAGTGAAGCATTAGTTTTGATTCAAGGCGTTAGGAAACGCTAACTTTTATCATCATTGTTCCTTATTCCAATTCCTGAATGAGTACTTGAAATTCTCGTGACTAAAGATAGTCTAAACTTATCTAATATTAGAAACGATAATTCAAGCAGCAGCTGTACTGTATTGTCACAATATTTTACAAAAGTGCGATGCTGCTTGCGTATGCCGATGGTATTAATGCCACTGCGTCATTTTCCAACTAGGTAGGACAATTGAAGCAAATGGGTTTTATAGTATATGAGGGAAAAACCCAAATGCTGTATGGCAATAAACAATTTTGCTGAGTGTATTGGGACGCAGGTCATTGTTGATAATTATAAGTTCGAAATTGTGAAAGACTCTGTTTATTTGGAAACCAACATAAACATCAAAAATGATGTTAGTTTAGAGATTTAACGAAGAATCACTTTTGCCAACAGATGTGACTTCGAGATAAATATGCAATTTAGAAATAAATCTCACTCTCAACAAACAAAAATGACGCTCTACAAGTCCCTTATCATACCTGTCCTGCTGTATTGTGCAGAAGCTTGGACAATAACCAGCATGGATTAGAAGATGTTAGGAGTATTTAAGAAAAAAATTTTCTTCGAAAGATCTTTAGTCCCTAACGCGTCGAATTAGTTGTAACCCTAAGTTGTAAAAGCTATACTGGGACATTGGTATACCGCGCATAAAAGTTCGGCGGCTTCGCTGGGTTGGTCATGTTGTGCTCCGTCTAGAAAGAAGTTTGATTCGGTACCTGCTGATCTACTATCTGCTGATCTAATATCTACTATCTTCGGTTAATGGACTAGGTGGTATTAACTGTAATCATACTCGTCTATTTGAAGACCTCAAATTTACTGATGGTATGCTTAGACAGGATTGCATGCAATTTATACCGCACTGGTTAAACAAAGAATCACTAAAGTTAGAACTAAAAACAAACATTTTGAGTTAAAACAGTTAACGGCAATATCTCTACAGTAGAAAAAACGCATATTCTAGATGTCAGCAGTTTTATTTACTTCGACACCAAAAGTAATGTTTGAAATCACATTCAAGAAAACCATCCTTATGAGATCTAGTCCCATTTATGGCTCCTTAACAAAAAATTAAAATAAATTTGCTGAATTGATCATGAATTAAACTGACTTAATTTTATTTGACAAACTGACATTTGTGCAAACAGAAAAATTCCGGTCTCGACAGTAATGAAAACAACGTTTTGAACCTCACCTAAAGGTACTCTAAATATTTTTGAAAATCTATAAAAATAATTAGTGCCATGAATATGGTAAGTCACGTTCCAATATATCTTCTAACATAATGTCTTAAATTCTTATTATAAACATTTCAATACCAAATAACTCATTTTCCATATCAGAAAAAATTAATTTTAGTGGTTCTAATAAATATTTATGATAATGTTTCATTTCTCTTACATGGAAGTTGTAAGCTCCGAACTCCTCAATAATTTGTCTAATATTCGGTACAGTTTTGAATAATTTTGTTGTTTTGCTTATGAATCTTCCAGATAAAAAGTGCCGGGTGCCAACTTTGACACTCTCAATGCGAAAGAAAAGTAAATAAAAATAATGTTTTTGGCTCTTAACTAATATTGATGCTTGGAAAAATCGACATTACTCAATAAGCAAATAAACATAACCATTTTGCGTTTGCATATGCGAGGAGCAAGTATGAGCAGCTTGCGCAGCAGGACACAGATGCAGTTCAATATGAGACGCTTGAATGTGTAAATACAGTTTTCTTAGGTAAACATTTTAACTGAACATAGTTGAATGCATTTTTGCATTTTTGCATTTTTACGAAAAAGAGACTACTGTAAAAATAGTAAGAAAAATATTGTCATACACTGCGCAAAAGGGCTGAAACAAATTCGGTCCCCATACAGCACTCAAAAATTGCAGATACTGAACTGCACTCAAGGAATCGACGACGATAGCGTTGAAAAAATGACTATAAAAAGTACGATAGAGTATTAGAAATACATATAAGTGAAGAAAATGAATATGGCGGTATAAAAGTGCTGCGACTGCTATCCTGCGGCAACACTTACTTGCCACCTTCACATATACAAACACGAGATACATGCCTTTAAGGAAGCACTGAATCGAGTTTACTGCTACTCCTTGCAAAAAAAGGATCAGCGCAGAAAAATATGCAAAATATTTTCCCAGCAAATGCAAAGAAGATTGTAGTACTTTCTTGCATATTTGTTGTCTGATTTCAGAATTTCTGAAACTGTGTTTATTCAGATAAGCTAAAGAGGCCAGCGGTAAGTTAAACGGAGGCAGTGGAGTTATATTTTCATAACTATCCTGCTATTTTGACTGCTAGTTAAATAGTCTGCATACATTGTGGAAGTTTCAAGAATTTTACAACATTCCTATTTTGCATTTTCACTATTAACCACGGTAGAGGTTAGAGATATTCCACAATATTTCATGCATTTTTGCAATATAAGAGTTCTTTTACTTAAATATATTAAAGCAGTTCCTATGGCCTGTTTAACCTTAAACTCTGGTATAAATTATTATTTCTTTTATTTCTTTCTTCTCTCTAAACAATATGTTTCAAAATAATAAAAACTGCTTTTAGTATATAAGAATTGTTTAAAAGTAAGTAAAACTTTTAAAAAGTAAGTAGTGAGGCATTATATTTACAATTATATGCATTAAGAAAGTCAACCGCTTTCTGTATTCAATTGATTCTGTGTGGTCTTTATATCTCCAATAATGCATTAGCCAATCAAAAAAAACAACGTTTAAAGCAATTGCTTCTTTCGCTTATGCCGATATTCAGAAATATATTTCGATCGACAATTGAAAACACTCACTGGACAGGCTTTCAAACCATGCAAATCACTGTATTAAATCAGAAGCGAACTATTTTTAATTTTATTAAAACGCAATAAATGTCTTAATATAGGCACATGAAAAAAATTGACAATAAAAACTGTCGAAAAACAATCTTAAAGCCGTGCCGCAAGGAAATTACGAAGTATATAAACGAAGAATATAAGATATGGAAAACGACTTGGGGTCTATAGGAGATAGACAGCAAATTATTTTACGAAACAGTGTTTTACCCCTGAATGCACTGCTTATTCTTATTTTTCAAAATTTAAGAATCCTTGCTTGGAAAGCTATACATTGACCAGGAAAACATATGAAGTAGCTCAGTGTTTCACACCTCAATGCACTACTACGATAATAAGCCAATGACACAAAAAAATTTTTAAAATTTAAGAATATTTGCGAGGAAAGCTATACGTTGACCAGGAAAACTCACTGAAAAAAATAGATTACGATAATGTAAACTCACGTTAAACCTACTAGTCTCTATAAAGCTTTCTAGTGGGTGATCGTGAGACATAGGCTTGGTAGCGTTTGGAATTGAAATTATGGTTTTGTGTGTTCTCTTTAATATAATCATTTCGAATATTTGGAGTATATGTTGATTTCCAATTATTGACGCATATGCCTTAAATTCTTGAAGTCATTAATTTTCTTCTATGAGTTTATTGCAATGTTTTTGAATACATTTGCTACCAAATATGGGTCATAAGTATTGTGACCCACCCAGCATATACAATCGCCAAACAATAATACTCGCCAAAGAATGATAACTTATGACTTGCCTAGATTCTTGTTTGGCTTATTAGATTATTGTTTGCAACTTCGAAATAGCTATCAAGTATTGATTGATAAAATAAAAATGATTCGTTCTTTTTGAATTCGTGACTATACGTATATTGGTTTCTTTAAGCTTTAGACAACTATCTTATAGTTTATTACTCAAATTAGTTTGAGTAGTTTTAACAATATTTATTTAAAAATTGGAATTTTATAGTGCACTATTATAATTTTCTTTTCCATATTGGCGTTCAATCAACATGACCATCTATAGTACTATACATCCAAAATATCAATTTTTCAGTTCAGAATCTAAAACTTAATATCTATAGTTTGATAATTTTGAACTAATTCCTTGCTGAAGAGTTAATTAATTGAGTCTTTTAAATATTATAAAAAGTATAACGTAATTTTATTAAAAAAAATATTTTCTTTACCGGAATAATATGTTAAATATGATTCATTATGATCTTCAAATCCATCACCACTTGCATGCTGTTCGTAGGGATAATTGTTCATATCATACGATCTGCCAGATGCCATAATACGTGGGCGATCCTCTTCAATAATATTCTCAATTTCTTCTTTAAATATATCAAAAATGCTGGCGGTACATTTGAGCTGTAATTTTAATAAAAAAATTAATTTTATTCAATTTTTATAAAATATTTAATAAGTTTTAGAAAATTGTTTAGACCTGAATTCACAGTAACAAAATTTTTTAATAAATAAACTTTTTAATTGCATAAGTCAGAGCAATAAGCCAGTATCTCATAAGTGAATCGTTCCTTATCCTGATTTACGAATATCAAGTTATCTCTTCATATAACGTAAACGTAGTAGACTAAGTCGGTCAGAATGACAAGGTTTACAAAATTTGGTTACCAAATTATAGTACCCACAAAGCGAAATATAATGTTTGACTTTTTGTTTGGAAACATATATTCTTAAGATAAATGATATTAAAGTAATTCTACTTGGTCCACTACCACTTTTCTTAAATAACAACAGAAAGTATTTCTTTCATTAAAATTTAAGAACTTTTGTGCATATTAGTTACTTCATTAATTCTTTGGAAATAATTTATAGTATTTTTAGAATATCTAGAATATTACAGGCTTTAAATTTTTTACCTATTAATATGAAACTAAATTAAAATTTAATTATTTGTCTTTATAAATAAATAAATTATAAATCATATCAGAGGTAATATTAAGAAAACAGTGATCTTAAGATATGTAAGTTATAAGGTTCTTTTAAAAGCATATATCTCTAACACAAATCAAAAAACTTAAAGGCAAATTAATTTATTTAATGAAATTGAATAAATATAAAGTTAATTAAATTACATTAAAAAAATAAATCGAAGAATAAATATCAAGGGCGTAAGGTAATGCAATGGACCTATAAGCATTAAACGTACTTTCTCTTACAAATTCACCTTACAATTTTGATTAATAAATTCTTATTTAAATATAATAATTACTATATCTATATATCTTATTTGTATGACGAAATCACTTACTCTCATTTGTGCGTTACTAAAGTGCTGGGTGGTGACCATGAAGTGAACTGCACTGACAACAGATTCCAGATTCGTATCCTCGTACTTTTCAATCTGATAAGTTTTAATGTGATGGGGTGATACCTAAAACATTAGAAAGAACATAATTTTTTGTTATTATTATAATTAATTTATTTTTTTAAATTATTACTATTTTTCAAAAATTAACAAAATTATAGCAAAAAATAAATAGAGGCAAATTAGTCAGTGTATAATTTATTCATTTCTCATATTTTTTCTCTTTTTTGCCGGGGTTTGATCGCTAGCATAGGTAGGCTGCTAGTAGACATAATAAGAAATCCACATCGCAGTATTTACTTACACTTCCTCATATAAAACAAAAATGTCACTCAAATGACAATGATTTATACATTTTTCAGTTAATTTTTTTTTTGTATTAATTCATTAACAAAAATTAATTAAATAAAAAAATCAGAACATATTAAAATATTTAAATTAATAATAAATTTTATTACCAGAGTATCAAAAAGTAAAAACGAACCATTGGATCGTAATGCAAAATGCCTTAAACAATGGAAGAAGAACGCAATATTATGATTTTCATATCTTTTATATATATATGAGACATGAAAGATATTCTGTGCCTTCCACAAAAAACGGAAGGTAGTAGCGGTATTTACAAATGATGAAAAAGGTCACACTACTGCTCTATTCTTGAAGGGAATACTAGTCATACAGTACTTGCTGTAATAACACCCATAGTTACTTCTCTGTTTCGATGAAGCCACAGGCAGTTCATAGAATGTTCACCTACATTTGGAAAAAGAAATCGTTGTTCATGGCTATGTTTTAAGCGTATGGTTCAACCATATCATCTCTCTGTCAACAATAACAGAGTCTATATTTTGACTGTTTGGTGCGGTTCTCACGCTGGCGGCATCACCGGTACTTATTTCTTTTGAAATGAGGAAGGAACTGACATTACGGTGAATGGCGAGCGCAATCGAACCCATAGAATTTCATTCTCTTATAAGAAACTCTATCGAAAACTGCGCGCGAAGCGAAGAGATGAAAAAAATTTAACGCATTTGCTAATTACCTAAAAGAGGTATTCCAACCAAATCCTGCAACCGGACATTATGACTGTTGTACTTCATTCATCTGATATCCCAATTTTATGCCGAAACAAAAACGTCGCGTTAGCTTCAAACCAACTGCAATCTAACTTATTTTAGGTGGAGAAATGATTTTTACAATAGTGTGTATGTGAATATGAATTAACGAATTAAAATGTAAACACGTCATTTTTACCTTAAATCGGAGTATATCTTCAACATCCTCATATCACAAGCAGATACTATAACATACACAGGTATGCATTTAGACAGACGACTAACTTGGCGCAAGTATATTAAAGTAAAAAAAATTCAAATAAAGCTCCAAGTCTCTAAGTTGCACTAGCTCATTAATAACAGATTCTCCTTGTGCCTAGAGTATAAAGTAATCCAGCTATGATATTCAGCTATTTGATGATGCTACTGAGAACAATCACTGGTGTCACATGGTATATTAGGAATGAAAGTATCTACAGAAATCTATAAATTCCCTTTGTTAAAGCTGAATTTGACGATATAAGAAAGAAATACAATACAAGGCTGACAGAACATGTTAATCCCTCAGGAAGGAATCTTGCACTTTTATCCACTACTTCCCGCCTAAAAACAGCTGACCTTCCAGCCATTAATTAAAATTCAATAGGTACAATATATAAAAACTCCTTTCTTTTCATAGAGATCTGATTAAGCTCAACTGCTTTTTTAATAAACCAACTAACATACATTCCAATGAAATTTAACGTATTAATTTAAGGGAGGTTCGCGATATAAGGCTTACTTATTTTATTTTATATTATACAGATTTATTTTTATTATACAGTTAAAATAAAAATTTTAATATTGTGTAATTAATGATAAGATTTTAAAGCTTATTATTAGTCTCATTAAAAAAAAAAAAAGAAAATATTGTTGAAATACCATGAAAATTAATCTCATTTCAATGTTAATGTGAATCGTTCATTATCCATATGAGGCATTTAGATAAAAATATTGTAGGCAAACTATTAGAAAAATATGTATCTAAGAAAAAAATAAATCTTAACAAATTAAATTGAAAAAATGAATTTTAATTTTTATTTTATCCGATTTTTATTTGAAATAGTACATCAAACTCTGTTAGAGAGTTTTTTTCATGGCTGCAAGCAAACTGAAATGCCTCTGTTGAAGTGGTGATTATTGACTTCGGCAACAGAACGGGGTTATAACAAGTGAGCAAGGTACTACGGCGAACAAATTCATTGAGTTTTCCTAAGATTCGTGTACTACAAGGGCTTTTGATATATCATAGAGCAGAAACTACGTGGTGATAGATCAAATCTCGCAGGATGTTATAGCATAGTACAATCACAAAAAGTTGTGGGGCCTTCTTTTCTTTGTGGGGCTCTTTTCAAATTTTAACTTCCAGATACTTCTTTCATACAATGCGTGTCTAATTGTGTATAATATATATTTAATATAACAAATATATAATCATGAAAATGTGATATTTCCTAGGTTCTATCTTTTACTTTTTTTTTAAATAATTTTCAAATTTGAAGACCTATGCTTTACGTTTTTTGCTATAAATTTCAATTTTTTGCTTAAATAATTTGGAAGCTTGAACGTATACAACGTATACAACAGATACAACAGATACAACGTATACAACAGATACATGTAGATATGTGTACATTTACATGTGTCTACACTTTAACCACATTTTAGAAATTTGAATAAATTTCATTGAAAATTTTATTTGCAAAGATAATAGTTAAGAATTTGCCAAATATATTATTTGCTTTAAGGTGTCAACAATTTTGTGTTCTCTCCTCAAGCAATGCCCTTCCTTCTTTTGTATTGTTTTTTGTATGGTTTTTTGTTGGTATTGTGTATGCAATTCCCTGTGGTAATACGAACCAACATTTTGTGGTGCCTAAAATTGTCACATTTTGTACGTTCGCTAGTTATGTAGGTGCCTACTAAGTCTAAGTCTTTAAGCGTGTGTTTGTTTGTGTGTGTGCGTTTTTGTACAATTATTTGTTTTACTGTTATTTGCTTAAAAATTTCTGCAGCATTCTTTTGGGAGCCAAAAAACAATCAGAGACGACAGTTTCATACTGGCTTTCATACTGGCAGTACAAGTCATCCATGTCCTGCTACTACGTATTTGTTATATTTTATTTTTTTATTATTGTTTTTGTCATCATAATGAATTATGACCCTTTTCTTTGCTACACGCTGCTATGTTATACATAAAGCGAACATTCTTCCTACCATTTTACATCCTTGCCTGCAGGCATCCTTGGTAGTTTCTTTTACAGCTCTTTAAGTGTAAAATGCTTGAAATTTATTTAACATTTTGTGACTCAAAAGGATAAGGCTAGTGCGTTTTCTCTCAAATAAATTTCACAATAAGAAATTACATTTATTTGTGTAAGAAGAAGAAAAGTTGTAGGAGAAAGTAACCGTAAAAACAACTGTAAGATGCAGGAATTACTTTGTGGCACTCATTTGTCAGTCGGCAGGAGCAGCATATTTTTGGGTGCATTAAAGAGTGAAGCAATATAGTCCAAAAAAAAAAAAATTATAATTACAAAAATGTATTAGCAAGTAAAAGAAAGTGTGTGTTTATTGTTCATTATGTATCCCAGATACGCATATATTTTTTTGTAATAAGGATATGTGCGTGTTAAAAAGGATACAGTTTTGTGGTCAACATAGTTGGCATTTATAAAGTGTCGAGAATGTTTATTACGAAATTAGTAGTTGAAAAAATATGCAGAATAAATTTAAATTAGAATGAAGTTTGTGGAACATAGGAAGTTTGTTAGTAGTATAATTAAACTGGACACGGAGTAAGAATTTTAATTTGATATCAGTCTTCAAGTTTTAGGTTAGGCAGAAATTTCAGGCATGGAAATTTTTCATATTAATGTAAATGCTAAATGACAATTGTGAAATAATGTTTTTGACATTAATTTTCAGATGAAACAGTCAAACGATTTTATACTTTGAAAGTTGAAGGTGCTTTGAATACGTTTTTAAGTAATGCGTTATTAAGTAGTACATTCAGTTAGAAGGTTGACAAAACGTTTGACTAAATTCAACAAATTTTTTAGCAAAAATTAAAGTTGGTTTCTTTTCATACATTTAATGACTTTATTGCCATTGAAGAGTACATAAAATATGTATTTAAACTTATGTTGAACTATTAATTTATGTAGAAAGTTCTTGTCATTAAGCGCTGAGGGTGTTGCAAAAACTCAAATCGGTTTTTTGAGTGTTAGTGACTGAAATCGGTTTTTGACGTATTGGTTGCACTGCCAGTAACTATTAGGCAGTTGCGTTGCTTCATTTGTGATGGACGAGTTAATGAGCAAGAAGTACAAAGCTTTAAGAATGAACAAGAAAAAATTAAAAATCACGTGACGTTGGAGTGTCTTAATATATCTAATGAAAATGCAGATATATGCTTTTTAGCATATATCATATATTAAGATATGTCGTATAGCTCATTTGATGCGATGTTATTTTGTTTTGAAAATTATTTACCTCTGCTTCTATTTTTACTTTTTTCTCTACTTCGATTGAGATTTCGACTTCTACTTGTACTTGCACTCCGATTTCTATTTTAATTTCTATTTCTACTTTTACTACATAGTAGAGATATCAACTATTTGAATAATAATTGTCTACTTTGAAAATCGTTACTTATCGGTACATTTAACTAAGGATTTTAACCTACGCCTTCTAGAAATAGTCCTGGTGTTAGCAAACTGTTTTGTCATGATTTTATTTCAAACTAGGACATTTCTTTGAATGCACTTGCCACACAACGTCCGGTAAAATCTATTTCTCCTACCAAAACAGTAAAAAATGAAGAATTTTTTTATTCTTAATAATACAAATATACCATTTTCATTAAGTTGTATTCACTAAGCGTAAACTATTTAGATAGTTTCAAGTGAATCTGACTGACTTATCCAATCCGAAACATAAAATATTTCTTTACGTCATTCAAATCGTTTA